GGCTTGAATTGCTCTGTGCCAGTCTTGCCAAGAGACCCTGGGGAGGCCTCCCAGGTAATTGCTTGTTATGTAGGTCCTAGCTTATCTTCTTCCTGTTGTTTGCATCTGTAGATGTCAGGAAAGAGGTGATCAATAAGATTATAAACTCCCTTTGTCTGTCTCTGTCCCTTTGGACAGTGCATGTGCGTTTTAATTAGTTTTCTATCTATCTGTATTCTTGTAATGACACAGCAGAAAGGTTCTCCATGAGAACAGGAGGAAATAACAAGTTTCTTTTTCTGTAGAGACTCAGGTGTTGTTTTTTTTTTTCCTAGCATCTTTCTTTTGAGCTCCTGCTCTCTGCCTGCTAAGCCTCCCTCTCCTTTGCTTTTCATTCTTTTTGCTTGCATGGGTTGCATTGGAACTAAGTCACCAAAATTAGCTTCCTGGGCTATACTAGCTTTTGCTGTGCCATGAGAAATCACTGCTCCTGCTTTTTGGAATTTTACTCCTATGCTTTTCTACACTCTGAGACATGAGGAAGGGAGTTTGGCACTGTGGAGAGAGGAGGATTCTGTTCTGAGTCATTAGGGTCAGCATTCAGCTGGATTACAAGTGACGGGATGGGAGCAGAGGCTTTTGGGGAACTGCCAGCAGCTCTGTTGCTAAATACCCAAAAGTGTTGGTCTGCAGCAAGCAGACATCACTGTATCACACTATAGTGGCACAAAGGTGGGCAGCAGGACTGAGGGACACCTTCAGTGCGTGACAATGGTTGTGCATGAACAGACAACAGAGGAGACCAGTGTCAAGTTCCTACTTTCCCTCCTACTACAGGGAAAACATCAAGGACAGTTCTTTGGTTCCTGAACCACAAAGGAGTGCTTTGATGGTTGAGCCAATGGTTTGACTCTCTTCTTCCTCTGCCCTTCCAAGAGAACACCATAGTAAATGTATCTGGACATCAGACTCCTCCAGTGGTATTTTGAGCCATTATGTTATGCATTCCCTGCGTTTCTCCTGAAATTTGTTGTTTGTCAGCTCCTGCCCAGAATGGGTGTGTAGTGTTGTAGTATTAATTCAGTGCTGCTGCCCTTGTTAGGTCTGGGTGGCATGTTTGAGAATGGCTGTGACAAATCCTGAAACTCTTTTGCAGTTGTAGATTAGAAAGTGTTGTATAAACTGTAATGGTTGTAACTGCACATGAGAAGTATGTTTTTAGAGTAAGTTCCATTCCTACTTGCTTATGTACCATGGAATTGTAGCTCAATATTTGAAGTAACAAAGTTTTGGTGTGAGTGGTTTTGTCGTGTGTATATTTTTTTGTTGTTGGGTTGGTTTATTTTTGTTTGTTGTTTTTTTTTGGGTTTGGTTTTTTTGTGGGTTTTTTTGGTTTGGGGAATTTTTTTCAACATGGAGAACTGATGGCTAGTTAGCAATGGAAAGTTAAATGCAAATGTCCGAGAGAAAGCGTTTGAAACACAAGAGGAGCTGGGAATTACATCAAACCCAGAAGCAAATGGAATAGAAAACAACTGTGGCTGAACATTTAGCTGTAGCTAAAAGATAATCAAACTATAATAAAACCTCTTGTAAATACAGATTTTGGTATAGTTTTGCTTGTCCTTTACTTTGTCATACTGCTATACAATTCTTTGCACTGTACTTTTGAAATAGAGTGTTGCAATATTTCAAATTGCAAATTGAGGGAACAGTATGAAGTTTACAGATATAGTAACACAGTACATAGAAACAGTTTTTCCCATGGGGTTGAATACACAGTTGGACACAGCAACTGTGAAAGCAGCAAGGTTCTGAGTCTACTTTTATTCTGAGGTGTTGTTTTTGTTTTAAGTTGAGGGATTTAACATGCTCAGAGCAAGCAGCAGTGACTTGTAAGATTCATGAAGCAGCAGCAAAGTGAGGTCTGGGAACACCATTGTGAGAATGGTATCTGCTTTTGAGGGGTAGGGGGAATCTGAGGTACTTGGAGCCAAGGAAAGCAGAGGTGTCCCCAGCAACAAACACAGAGCACTCGACTGAGAAAAGTAGGACTGAAACACAGGAATCTTTCATACAATTGAGGTTCCTCAAGGAACAAGCACCAAAATAGGAAGTTTTTTTAAGATGGAATGCGCTGGTTGCTAGATAACAAATATTTAGCAGGTAGAGGTTAGAAGTATCTCCAACTAGAGATAGAAGGCAGATTATAACATTCGAACTGTTGGGGAAGAGCAACAGGATCACAGTGCAAGAAACCTGAAAAACTTTGACAGTGTATTTTAATAAAGAAAGCTCAAACCAGTTGAGGTCCACCAGTGACACAGCTGCCTACCATGCATGCACTCCTAAGGCCTTGTCCTTATCCATAGCTGCTAGGCCATGTGATGTTGGGGCAGCTGAATCTAGCAGCTTGGCAGCGGTGAAGTTTCCTCAGCTCTGTCCCCAGGTCCAGCTAGCTGGAACTAGATGATCTTAAGATCCTTTCCAACCCTAACCTTTCTATGATTCTATGTAGGCACATGCACACAGAGACAGAGCTATACAGAACCTTTATGTACATGTACATGTGATCAGCAATACAGATCATCACAGACATACTCAGCACTCATGCAAGTCCTTTATTCCTTATTTTTCCTATGCTTGGGAAATGACCTATAAGCCTTGCTTTATCCACCTTTGATGCCTGCTCTAAATATCCTCTAGGTCTTGTGCAATGCCAAAATGTTCTTTCCTTGCATATGCATTGGCAGTGTCCCTTCCTGTTTCCTATCTCCCCCACTTCCAGAAGGTGCTCTAGAGATTTGTTCCTGTTGACTCCTAATGGGTGGACTCTGGGCACCAGGGATGAGTCCCACCTGGGACAACCCTGGAAAGGGTCCTGGACAGGTTGTCCTTTCTTCCAAGTGCCTCACTCAGGTTGCCACCTGCCTGTGCGCTCCAGTGCTTCTCTGGGAGTGTGGAGATGGGCCTTTGTTGGGCTGACAACCATGGGTCTGTTGGGAGTAGCTGGTAGAGGGTATTGCATGGTGCCTCAGTATGCCACTACCTGTGTGTTCCTTTGGATATGTGCTGATGAACTTTTTAAAATCACATAACCTACCATTACTGTAGGATCACTATTTGCAGCATCGGAATGCTTTAACTATCCCCCATGGCTGAAATAAATAATTTTGAGTTCTTCTGTCATGGGCCTTGCCAACCATAACACCTCTCTGAGCTTCTGGAGTACCAGCAAGTCCCCTTGTGATAGCGTGATGCTCCCTGGCAGATGAATCAATGGCCAGAATGTGACAGTACAATAAAGTCACACTGACAATTTTATTAGCATTTTGTTTGCTGGTTTTTATTTTTAAACTTGAGGTGCTCAAGACTAATAGAAGCTCTGTACTGCTCTGATCATGTGAAAGCTAGGTATAATTGAAATGAAGGGATAAATTATTAACGACAGGGTCTTTAATGTCTGTAAAACATCAATATGGGAATGGTGAAAGGCAAACAACCTTTCACAAATCAACCACAAAATCTGCACAGAAAGTTTGTAAAGCATGTGAAAGTCTTAAGAAAGGGGCTTCTAAAGAGAAGGTTGGTTATGGTGATTTTACTTACAGGGTGAGAGCTGGTGCAGACAGAGGAGCAGATACCTGAGGAATAAGGGTCAAACTGCTAACTTTTGAGGTGCTGTTGAATGCTAACAGCCTGCTGGGCTCTAACTAGATTCTGTAGCTGTGTGAGTTGCTCCATCCACCACTTTGTGGGTGTATGAATGCATACATAACCATGGGAAAGAGCAAACCCATGTGTTTTATCTCTCCTCAAACTGTTCAGACAGGTCTTGGCGACCATTTCCTGGGTTGGACAGACTGCTTTTTATCTTTCCTTTTGCATTTGAGATCAACCAGGACAGCCTAATCTGAGGATTAAGGCAGATCTGATGAAGGGCAGTTTCCATAGCAGATGCTGTCATGTGAGCACCGAGTTCCTCTTGCGATAGGGCAATGCAGGTGGTGGGGCAAATCCTGTTTGTCTTGATTAATTGTCAGCTCAGTCCTAGCTCCTTTTTTCCCTGCAGAAAACAAACCACACAAAGTATCTAATTAAGAGACTGAATAGGTTGAAATTATAAGCAGGCTTGTATTTATGCTCTGAATAATACTCTGTGGTATGGTTTCCATTAGTTAATGTTGAGCAGCAGTTTGCATGGTCTGGAGGCTGCCTGCTGGCTACCCCAAGGACTGCACTATGTAGCTGCAGACCTGCAACTATGCTGGCAAAGTGAGATGCCAGATCAAAGAGCTACCCTCAAAAATGACTTAAGCAGGTCTAATGAGCAAGTTGTTTGACAGAAATAGACGCTACTGAGACTGTTCTGTAAAATCACAGCAGTTTATTTCACTATCATCTTTAAATGAGGCTTTCTACCAAACAGAGAAAACAAGGTTACCTATGAGGTGAGCTGTTATTTCAATATTTAGACTAGAGATCTTAACATCCTTCTGACACAAAATATAGTTACAGTTCCTATGACAACTGCTCCTCTCCCCTCTGGAGCATGGACTAACGACAGCATTTCATTACATGGTCATGTAATGCTGGGCACTGTGATAGCCTTGTCAGTTCTGCTCTGGTGTTTGCTCCTAAATGGCATTTAGCTGAAGCCTGCTTGTATTGTGCAGAACATGAATTGGAGTGACTGACCTTCACTTTGCTTGCTGCCTGCCACTACCAACTTCCCAGCTTTCTGCTTTTCATTAGTAGGTTCACTCTCTACTAAAATACGTCTGGTATGCTGAATTTTATTGACAAAAATTTCTAGAAATTTGTTTCTGTGGTAACAATTCTATACACCAGTTAACACTAGTTAACAATAGTATCTTAACAAGTACACAGAGTACTAATCTTTATCAAACCAGTCTGTTGACAGAAAATTCATTACTATAGCAGCCAAACCAGAATATGTAGCAGATTCCTGTAGCTACTTCTGCAATACACTTATGAAAAATTATAACAAGTTGAACAGATATATTAAAAGACTTTATTCACAATAGAGAAATTTTTACAAATATAAGTTCTTAAAAATTAAGCATCTTGATCTATTATGTATTCCATAATTTCTGTTTATATAAAGATGAAAAGACTAAATGGACTCTGTACAAATCAAAAAACAGTTTAAATGCATGATAGAAATGGATATGTATGATGAAGTCACCATAGAAACAGTGAGCCATTGGGAATTGCAAAAATCTGTGTACAGCCAACACATATGTAATACTTATCTCACAAACAATCAAAACATTATTTTTTTCCCCCATGAAACAATGTGGGTGCCATTTAAGCAATTTACCTGTTAGGACTTAACATATGAAGATTTAAATGCATTATTATGCTATGAAGAAATGTAAAAGTATAGGCAGTTTATGTAAAGATGTGTGTGCACCCTCCCATGCTCCCAAGGATAAAGCAATTTCCTTTGCTCTTATGAAGGACTGGGAATACATGGGGACCAGCACTAGCCACTTCCATGTAGCTAGTTAAGTGAATGGGAAATAAAATGCACACAATCTCAGCACTCTAACAAGCAGCGGTAAGTATGGACTGTTTCAAAATGATTGCTCCAACTTTGGTGTTTTGGGGTTATTTAAAAAAAAAAAAAAAAGGAAGAAAAATCAATATATTCTCAGCTTATGCAAAGGTTTTTTTCTTACAGTTGGCAGATCTACACATTGTACAATCTTCTCGTCTACTTACATTAGTTTACAAAAAGTACAGTATAGTGCAGTTTGTACATACAACCTGAATACCAATACTAGTCACAACACGTTTGTGCTCTTTCAAATCATTGTAACTCCCAAACTAAAAAATACCAACAAAACAAAACAAAACAAAAAATCCAACCAAAACCCCAACATACTTTATGTCTGTATTACAAGGAAACAGTCATGATGCTTATATTTAAATACGTAAGATCTGATGCATACAAGAGCTGTGTGTTTGTAGCCTGCTTTTTGAAACATGAAGAGCTACCTTGTTCTCCTCTGTTTCTCTTCAGCTTGGTAAATAAGATCACCAGATACTTCTGGGGGATACACTGAGGTTGAGAAAACCATGTAAAAAGAGACTTACAAAACATTTCTTAAAGACTTTTTTGTCTGAGCTATTGTAGTTACTTAAGCAATACGAGGCCTATAACAGCTGTAATTTTTCTGTGGTACTCAGAGCGTGGGTGGGAGGGAAGAGCTCCCTTATAAATACTGTTTCTGAAGAAATACAATTAAATATTATAGTCCTCCAACAATACAATTGCTCGAATATCAGAATCAGCAGGATTTCTGCTCTTGAAGAGAACCAAGACTTCACCCTTGCTCACTTTTGGAAAACTGTTACTGTGACATGAGGGAATCATACTTTAAGAAAGAAAAATAATAACAGAATTAAAAAAAAAGAAAAAAAAAAGGCAGTAAAGCAAAAACTCCTGAGCCAAGGTGCTGGTTCCATGTAAGCAGGCTTTATCTGCAGGTGCACAACTTTTGTGCCCATGCTCTCAGCACTGGGCGGCCCAGGCTCAGCAGGGTACCCTTATTAACTTCCATGTACAAATGCTCAGCTCTGCCAAGCCTGTGAAGGAAGGATCAGCATCACTGAAGATCCTCTTGCCTTGCCCCCTACATAAATGTCTTTGGCAGCTCATGTGGCACACACCGTGTTCTCTGTCTGCAGGGGAAGCAGAGAGGCAGTGCTGTCTTTACAGAATCCAGAGAGTAAAATTTATGGGCCAGCTTCCAGCTGCTATATATAAAAATTTAACTAGTTATCTTTGCTCTTGGCTTCTACCTAAGAAAACTTACATCACAGACCTCTATCAGTGCAGAAAAAATGTACTTCATAATGCCTAAACAAATGTAGCTCCTCAGCTGTGATTAGCTATGCTGGACTGAGCTATCTTACTAAATACCTTTTCAAGATTACTGTTCAGAACCATATCTGTTTTGTTGCAATCCAATTGGTGAATTATGTGCTTTCTCAGAATGGGAAGCCAGGTGTTACTCAAAATTAATGAAAGTCATCCTGTCACTAAATAAAAACAGGTAGATTTAATAATCATGTAAACCACTTCAAACTACATTTAAATAGAAACAGGAATTGATCACATCCCATTTCTTTTTCCCTTTGGTGATACCACACATTAAAACTTTTTTGGCAAAGCTTTTACCTTTCTTAGTAATCTAGGCCTATAATCTAGGAAATACTTTTAAGCACACTGTATTTCTTTCACTTACATAAGACAGACTCAGTGCTTTCTGAAAGTTTTAGTTCTATGCTGGATAATTTCCTCTCTGAATTATCATCTTTTAAGAAGACAAATTTGCTTAAAGGCATCTGAACATCTAGCTTTAATGTTGATACATCAAATTGTTTTGTGACAATAAACTATCAAGTCTGTTTTCAAGTCAGAACCTACCTGAATGTTTGTGGAAGTCCCAAAAAATTATCTCCAGTATAATTAATTCTCAGCTTACCAGAAAATGCCATTGGTATTTTTTTTTTGTCTCCTTACCATACAACCATATGAAAGCTACTGGACTAAATACATAAAGAAGGTATGACTCCCTTCCTTAATAAGAAATTACTACCTTAGTTTACTCCATAGTAGCCTGACTGAAAACATGAGAATAACACCACTTAGAAAAGGGAGGAAACAATTTATTCTATTACAATATTCTACTCAAAATCTGAAAAACTAAGGTCTGCTAACTAATGTGCTAAATTCATAGAAACTAGTTTAGTCTAACTTCAACATATACTGCAGTTTCAAAGTCGTGTCTGCATGAGATGAAAAATATTCTTATGTAGAGTTCATTGACAGTGAAATACATCAAATAGTTTACCAAGTAATGATAGACCCGCATAAGAAGAGGCTGTCACAGTCACAAGATTTGTCTTGGATGACACACAAAACAAATTAACATAGAACAAAAAAAAAAAAAAAAAAGCTCTTTATACTTAATTCAATATGGCTTTTTGCAACATGGCAAAATATTACAGCTTAAAGCAGACATCTCCTCACAGAGGAGAAAAGAATTTTGCAGTCAAATTAAAAGCATAACAGATAAGAAGTAACATGCAGACCCTCTGCTCTTTTTGGCCAAGAAGGCAGTGCAGCCTAACACAATCTGGAGAGATGTCCTATTTCTCTTCTAAGAAGTGGTTCAGCTGGATTAGAGGACTTGGGTTATATCATAATTAGTTTGGGTCCATTCATAAGCATTTACTGTTAAAGAAAATAGACTGCAAAACACTTGATTAAAAAAATTAACTCAAGAATTTAAAACCAAATTATGTGCCCAAGTCCTGAAAAGAAACACGGGAATGAAATAGAATATAACTTAATCTTCATCTATTTCTGGTCGTCTTCTTTATTCCCATCGTCTTTGTGAAGAACAGGGAGAGGATGAGCCTCTGTGTTGAAGACCCAGTGTTCGAATGGAAGAAGGTCATCTTCAGAAAATAGCAAGTACAAGTACCTGGCAAGAAAAAAAGCAGGAAATGTGACCACATCAGGGGAGTAGAACTACAGTAGTCTTCAGGAAAACAAATACCTGATTTCCCTAGATGAATGTATCAATGGAACAGCTGACCAAACACAAACTACCAGTAAATCTCAGCATCAACAGTGATTAGTACAAAGCTTTGAGTCTCACATTGGAGTTAGGGCAATAACAACTTGAGAAAATAAAAGAATGCCTCTATCCTGATAAAGGACAAAGAAGTTTAGACTATCAAGGTTAAATATCAGTTCACTGCACTTCCATTTCATCTTCAGTAATTTTATTACATATTGTTTTGATAATATATAACCGCACTATTTTTTTTTCCTCCTGAATGTCCACATATATCAAGGTGTAGTAATGGAAATATTGAAGTCCAATTCTGTCCTTCATCTCAGAACAACCTCTGGGTTAGGACTTTTAAAGATGTAAACTAGCAGTAGGCCAGTAGCTTGGGCATCTGTTTACTAAGACAGACTCTACTGAACCCAGCAGTAACCAATAAACAAATCCCAAATTTTATTTATTGTCATGATACAAGGTAGTAGCTACTGTAGCGCTATTATTGCAGTCTGCTTAGGGTTGAAGGTCTGCTTAGGAAGTGGAATTTTATTTCTTCCTCAATCACCATCCTTCCCAGAAGGGTTTTCTTGGTCTAATTCTGATAGGCCAATTTAAAAGGTATAGTTGAGGGACTGCATTATCTCAAAAACCATGTCACTATGTATCTAAATGTATTTTAAATATATTTACAATATTTCATATACTTGAATTTCAACTTTCTTTTGAAATAGCATGATTGCTTCTTTCCTGCTTTCTGGTCTTTGCTAAAAAAAGTGAAGAGACCAAGACAAAACTCCCTTTATTTCATCAAAAACTTCAGAGATGAGAGATAATTAAAGCTTTTATTTAACTCTCTTAACAGGCCCTGCAAGCTTACCATGCAAGTTGACTTCTTTTTTTCTTTTTCTGTACCTCTAAAATGAAAAGTATGCCATACAAGCTGGCTAAGTCATTGGTCTAGTTCAATTTGTTTCACTAGAGTTGACATATATAATTATATCCTATCAAAGTTAGATGTAATTTCTCCACAAAGACTATCAAGTACCTTTATCAGAAATAAAGATAATTTCCAGAAGCCATAGGATTTAGTTTATTTACATAGAAGAAAAAAAAAAAAAAAAAAAGGCCTATTTGGCTTCCTATCACCTAAGAAAAACTCTGTTATTTCAGTTAAGTTCTGTTAAGTGAATGTCAAGGGTACTCGTGACAAATATTGATCTGTAACAATGATACATAGAACTACTTCATATTAATGGAAAGTCAACTTTCTTAACTTACTTGAGCGTCTCTGAAAGGAAGAAACTTTGCTGCACATCATCATGGCTTTCATGATTGTTATAAACATCTCTAATTCCAGAATAGCCACCATCTACTCTGCAGTGTTTTTCCAGTGCCTGAAAAGGAAAAAAAACCCCAAACTCAAACCAAAAAACAAACAATAGGATTAACAAAAAGATTCATCTGTCAGTTTTCATTTGATAGTAATGCTAGCTAAAAAAAAATCTAAAAATTGTCACAAATGTTTTGATTAAGAGATGAAAACTAGACAAAACTCTAGATGGAAAACTCTTAAAGACAAGACACACATGTCTAATTTAACATTGAGGAAGAGAAGCAAAATGAAAACTGTCTAAAAGAAGTGAACACAAGCCAGTTTTCAGAAGGAAAGATATATGGATGTAAGGATGTAAAGATATATGGATTTTCACTTATTTTATTTTTGCCCTTTTTAATAGTGATAATGAGAACCTCTCTCTCAGGCTGGTCTATCAGCCTTCACATACCTTTCTTGGTCACACTTTAGTGCTTAAAAATTATTGTGATAGAATCCAATATCATTATAAAGACCAGTCTTTTCCTTACCTCCTGAAAGCATTTTCTGATAAGAGGCTAAAAAGTCACTAATAATTTCTGAGGTATCCATCACCTCCACCTGCTCTAAAGGCTGATCAAGATCTGTCTTTTGCTTTGAGTAGATATCCTAAATGTCCTTGTTTTTGCTGGAGTCCCTGTAGCTATCTGCATATATTTAGCTTGCATGTCAGTCTCTCCATAGTTTTCACTGGAGAGTAAGCTGCCTACGGTATATTTAAAAGGGATTTTTCTCCAGGAGAGATTCTTTATTTTATAACAGGCCTATTTGTCTTTCCTTATGTGTCTTCAGGTTCTTAATTTTCCTGGACACTTTTACTAAGTGACAAATATACTTAAGTTTAAGCAAGTAATTTCCCCTGGCTGATGCTTCTTCCCTCTTGTCTACTTCAACCTGCAGTGAATTCAAAATGCTGAATCTGTGTCTGGATTTTCAATGTCAAACACAAGATTATGTTTTCCAAGGCACAGTAGAAGGAGAACTTGCACTTGAAGGAGATAGCTGTTATTCAAGGAAGTATCTGCATTCTAAACAGGGTGAGGTAAAACAAAAGTAAATTGCATTTGTGGTTTATGTGCTCTAACATGTAGTCGGTCTTCTTTATGAGTTCATGGTAGGGAGATGCCATATAGGTACCTGAACAAACTGCTATGCTGTAAAATAAGAGGTTAACTTGCACCATGTTAGCCATCTGCTAGTACCTACTTGACACAAACACAAAGATCTTAGCCCTCAAAATTACCTTCCACTTTACTAAAGGAACAGGATGTTCATGTGCAACATTAAGTATGATTAAAAGGCTCCTGGTTGTCACCCTCCTTTAACTGGAAGTACTGGCCTTTTGTGCCCATATCTGCAGTTTCAGACTACAGTGATGTTCATACTGACAGTGGGGTACTGGTGGGTGGGGAAGAAACTATCAAACACATTTTAAATTAGTAGCTCTCAGAAAATGAGGGTGGCTAAGATCAGTTATGCTGGAGTAATGGGAAACATCAAGCAGAGTGCAAACTGGCTGACAGTCTCAAAGTATCATAAAGGGAAAAAAACAAAGGAAGTGTTATGAATTCAAAATATGTGCCACATGTATAATGCAGAAGGGGAGACTTTCATGGTCTAAGCTGATAAAAAACCTTTCTGACTCAGTAACAGTGGATATTGGTGCTGGTCATAACTGCATTTTCTCCAGCTGCTGCAATAGATACAAAGTGATCTTGGGCTCAAATTAAAGCAGCAAAGTGAGTTTCCACAGAAAAAATGGACAGGCTAGAGCATGTTTTTAGTCTGTCAAAGTTAGAGAAAGAATTAATAGACTTCTTGGAGAGCTTAGAAGTCATGATTTAGAGAGCAGCCTCCTTTTCTGCACTGGGAAAAAAACTGATGTGTTTTTATTGACAGTATCATGAGTTGAAAATGGACATGAAACACTTGAACAACTTTTCTGGGCAACAACAAATGATCTGATTGTTCCTCCTTTTTTCTTGTTTTATTCTCAGGTTCCTCTTCATGCAGCACGTATCGGTAATTAAACCAACTATATTCAGTGGTCATGGACTTCCCCAAGAACAAAAAGGGAAATAAGGGACTGCAAGAATAAGGAGCAAGAGGGAGCAGAATTTATGAAATACTTGTGGTAAGCTATCAAGATGTGTTGGAACAAAAAAAATACAGTATCAGGTGGAGCTGTGTGGCTAGAAACATCAAGGAAGAAGATGAAAAGAAAAAAAGATTTGAAACCTACAACTGACTCTATAACTTCTGTGAGGCTGTAAGCTTTGTTTTCATGAAACATGCAACTGTGCGTTAGGGCAGTAGAAGATAGGCCTGTCCAGAATGGAACCCGCAGCATCTCTCACACGTGGGCCATAATCCACTGCGTTAGAGACAGACGAGAGTAGCCACAAAAATGTTAAACAAAGAGCACATGGGGAGCTCTAGGAAGGTAAATGAGTACACAAACTTGAAATAAACACAAACAAATGGAACCAACATGGTAAAGAATAATAAGGAAAACATTTCAATTGTTTAGAACAATGTTATCAGTGTGGGCAGCAACAATGAATCAGGAAAAACATCTCCTGGAGAATAACACTTGGCATTGCTGAAGCCTGGTGGGCTGACTTCCACAAACAGCCACTGTAAAAATCCCAATTATAATCTGTCTGGGAAGATTCCAGTAGTAAAATGTGTCCTTTCTGAGTGGTGTTAGCAAAAAAAGGAAAGGAAGAGAACAGCATTCCAAATCAGTGGTTTCGAAAAAAACCACAAAACAAAAAACATTGCTTTGTAGTCAGTAATTCAGGAGCATATTGTTTCAGGGCTGACAGAGCCAACACCTGAGGGAGGCAAATAAAATGTCCTAAATAACTACAGTCTACCTAGCTGAATACAGTGTTGGCTGCTGTGAATATTTGAACAAGGAGAAATTAAGAGAGTAGAAGTATAGTTAATGCTAGCAACTATTCTTTATGGGAAGTAGATTTTACCATAAAGTTCGTTCTTCAGGAATACCTAATCACCAAACATTCAACACTTGCACAATATTTGAGATAAGTTCAGTATCTCACACAGTTAATACTGAACACAATTACAGTTCTTTGATGCTGTTGACAGAGACAGGTAACTGGTGGATGTCATGCTGCAGCCAGGTACATGGAGTCATAACCCAGTAACATGAGCTGGTTGAAGCTCAAATGCTAGTGGGACACAGAAATATAGATCTAGAAGAAACTGTTATCATTAATGGAGTTCAGTCCAGATGACCTGTGCTTTCTGAAAGTGACTCTTTTTTTAAAATGTTTGATACTATCTAGTAATTCCTCTTGGCCTTCATCACCTCAATTAAAATCACCTTCACAAAATTACTATTGGAAATGCACTTCATATAACTTAATTCTATGTCCAAGGCTCAAATCTGACAGGCTTGCACTTTCCCTTCACCTGCAGCAATATTCCACATCTTGAGCAGCACATCCAAATATGACCTTGATCTGAAATGTGTTGAAGAAGGAGAAATCACAATCTATTTTTTCTAATATACGGTACCAGCAGTATTTGGTTTTGTCAAAATGATCTTTGTTCATCTATTGAGTAAATGCATATCTGGAAATTAAATATTACTGGTTTAAAATATATATTTATGCTACAAGTACTAAACAAGATTCAGGTATCATTCAGTAAGAAAAAAGTCTGACAGAACATTACCTCTACAGCTTCCCATCCCCACTGCCTGTACTTTGGGTCATGAGTGAGCCGCCACATATACATGTAGGTCTCTATAACTTCTGGTCGTAGGATGTAGTATTTTTCATTTTGTCTTGTAGCAATGGCCTCAACACCACCATCAAATCTGAAGGCTTCTGGTCCCAATTTCATGCCTAGCCAATATAAAGACACATGCTAGAATAAAGGCATTTTTAAAGGTTTTGAATTATGTAACCTACCAAATCAACTATCATTTCATGGGGCACAAAGCCAGGTTACCCAAAGGGTATATAATTTCTGAAACATACTGCAGCACCTCCTGGTTTTAATATTTTATAAATAATTCAGAGTAGGAGAGAGCTGTTCTTCATCAATGCCCTGAATGGCAATTCCAGTTTGAACAGTGATGCTAACATTTGTATTCTGGAAGACTTAATATAACTAGTAACATGTGAAATTTTGCTTAAAAGACAAGGATATTTACTTTTCTATATCAAACTGAAAAATGCACTCTGAGACCTGAAAAGCTCCTACGTTTTTTTTCTGTAAGGGGATGAAGAATCCAAAGAAATTTCCCGCACAGAAATCCACTTTTTGTTCAATTCTATTGTCTGCGGCATAGCACCAGCAGAACTGAGAACAAAATAATTTTTTTGTACATTAAATGTTTAAAAGCTATATTGATGCATTAATGAACATGTGCCTCTCTTAGTTGCATTTGACTATACAGAAATTGGCAAAGTGGGAAAAAAGGCAATTACATTAATTACCAGAGTGAGTAGCTATGATTTAGGTGCACAGCAGCTACTTATAAAAAAGAGCAGCATTCTTAAAGTTGCTTAGAGCAAAGAGGCATTTGCTCAGAAAGGATGAAGAATTCTTACCATCATACAATTTTCATTCAGCATTACACAAAAATACTGGTGGCTGCCTTCACAAAGTCAAGCTGTGAAACTAAACTTTGCCATGCAGCACTTACTTGTACGATCATAGGATTCATGGCAAGTCCTTGCAATTTCAGCACCAAGCTCAATGTGATGGCCTGTCCTGTCATTGGGTGCTCCATCTGCTCCTAAAGCAAACATGCCTCCAGCAAAACAAGTGAGATGTCCCATCTTGTGTTCAAGCAGTCCACCCTTCCACTCAGCGATGTATGTCAGCCCTCCGCCTGATTTTCGAATGAGGTGGGTCTCTATGGCCTGCAAAAGTACATGGTTTCAAGCCAACGGTACCATTTGGTAAAGTATGAAGGACAAATTTGTCTTGTATATTGGTTGTTTTTTCTCTGTTATTGCCTTTGCTTATAAAGTAAAATGGATAATAGGAGGTAGCATAACCTCAAAGTGCAGCCAAACCAACACAAATTAGTATACATCAGTAATAATAATTAATTTTGCTACATTTTTGATCAATTTAGGCAGTATATTTTAAAAAATATTGAAAAGACTTAAAAAATACAATTACATTTTAAAATTATTTTCTTTCTCTCTCTTTGAGCAGGTTCAAGTAATTTCACTTTAATGTTGATTAGTGATCCCTTCAGCTTTCATGCTTCCCATTTTAATTCTGGCTTAAAGGATGTGGTTAATGATATAATTTTATGTCAGTTATATGCAGATGTAACTCATATTCAAAATGCCTGACTCAGTGAGTGCACTAAATGATGTTAGGCCTCTGAGTCTATATGGTATTCCAATGAGTTTCCCCTCCCAGACTGATTTCCTCTGTAGTTAACAATCAAGTGTAGTGTCTCACTGAGATTTCTGGAAGAAACCTAAGAAGAAAAAAATATACAAGTCGACTAGAGAGAAAAAGAAGTTGGTGACATTAGCAATGTATGGTCACTGATTCCAAAACCCAGGAAAACAACTTTCCCTTGTGGTAGAGACATAATGAAAAAACTAGAGGAGATGCAGAAGAGCACATTAATTAGAAGCCCACACAGCAAGAAAGCTATTACTCTTTAAAGGGTAATGGAGAAGAGACAGACAATGCTACCATACATTCAGTTATCCAGCAGTGCTCTGGTTTGTTCTATTGAAATCCTAAGAAGATCCAGAAACAGTGGTCAACATGCATTATACAAGAGAAAAAATATAAACAATATATCAGTACAGTGAATTACTAACAAAAAAGCCAGGCTTTTTAAAAAAGGTACTATAAAGAGAAGGTATTGATTGTAGTTATTCCTTCCCATTTGAACATCTGTAAAGGTAGTTTTTATAGGCATGAAAAATCTTCTCTAACCTAGAAACATCAGCAGAACAACTGTAGAAGTTTTATTTACTAAGTTCAGAAATGAAAAGCATTTAAACAACATTTCATTAAACCTTTCAGCATGGTATCCCCATCTCACCAAATCAACAACTCTGGCAAGAATTGATAACGCTACTGGTCACTTAGCTGTTGAGTCAGAATTTATTTTAAAAATAAACAGAAAAATAGATTAATGACTGAATTTACCTACATTGTGATCTTTCAGTAAAGAATTAATGAAAAACATAACGAAATATTACTGTCTCTTGCAGAAACAAGATTAATCATACACCTTCAGAACTATAGTAACTAGACCAGAGATGATTCTTATAGTATGAAAATTGATTTTGTAATACCAATTAATCTTTCAGAGGTTTTTTTTCCCCTCTTTTGGCTCAAAAGTAAAGTTCAGTCTGAAAAAAGATGACTTCCACTTGTGAAATTTTAAAATTATTTTGACAAACTGATGTTCAGAAACCAACAAATTGATGTTAATGGATGCTAAGAATGTCACAAAATAAAAATATATTTCCAAATTAATTATTCATGTTTAGTAAAGCAAATCATCTTGGTTTTATAAATGGGTCCTATTAAGAACTAGTACATATGCCTATTAAAAGTTATTTTTATTATGTAAGCATCTCACTTAAAGCTATTTTTATTAGCTAGTTATTTGATGTATTACAGACTGTCAAACTGCCTTGTCATACTTTGTACAGTCGTGGGTCCTTGAGTGCTAGAGAATACCTACACTGATGCATATGCCCTTATTACAGCATGCTAGGTAACTAATAATTTCTACCTAGCCATGAAATCCAAATAGCCTTTGATATGTACAAATAACCTTCAGAATCCATCAGCCCAAGTGTGCTGATTTGCAAATCCATCAGCACTCAATAAACTCAAGTTACTCTGGAAGACAGGAAAACAAACATTGTAACTTGGTAAAGCCTAAACTTCATTTGAAGTTATGTGCTTATGAAGTCATATTTTGTAGAAGTTACATGATTTAAGCAAACTGACCTTAATCAAACAGCTTTTGTAAAACATGAAGGGCAAAGGAGCATCTCTTCCAGAAGGCTGGTAGCTCTTTTTGTGTTACTGGCTGTTGTACCAGCAGAGCACACAAAACCACTGCCCTGGAGTTTGCAGGGGGACTGGCAAAAGCTTCAGTTAAATCTGAGAAGTTTCTTCATGGGCCTTTTTTGGTCTGAGCTAGACAAACTTTTCTCATTAAATATAGGTTTCCCTTCTCTCATTGCTATTTATCTACCCTCTGACTGAGACTAGAGGTTAGCCACTTGCCCTGGAACATTTTCCAAAGTCTTGCTGTTGTGGTTTAAGCCCAGCTGGTAACTCACAGCCACACAACTCGCTCTCTCACTCCCCCTCTCTTCCTCCCCACCACTCCCAAAGGGATGGGGAGAAGAATCAAAAGAATGTAACTCCCACGGGCTGAGATAAGAACAGTCCAGTAACTAAGGTATAACACAAATCACTACTGCTATCACCAGTAATAATAATGATAAGGGAAATAACAACGGAAGAGAATGCAACTGCTCACCACCTGCAGACTGATACCCACCCCAACCCGAGGGTAACTGCCCCCAGTTTATATACTGGGCATGACGTGCTGTGGTATCACAGTATCACAGTATGTTAGAGATTGGAAGGGACCTCAAAAGATCATCTAGTCCAATCCCCCTGCCGGTATGGAATACCCCTTTGGCTAGTTTGGGTCTGGTGTGCTCTCTCTGCTTCCTCCTGGCTTCCCCTCCTCCCTGGCAGAGCATGAGGCTCAGAAAGTCCTTGGGCAGAGTAAACATTGCTGAGCAACAACTAAAAACATCAGTGTTATCAGTGCTGTTCCCAGGCTGAAAGTCAAAAGCACAGCACTGCACCAGCTACTAAGAAGGAGAAAAATGACTGCTACTGCTGAACCCAGGACGCTTGTTAACAAATCTGTAGTATCAAAGTTTCATGAAATCTGGAATAATTCCAGCATGGCATCAAAGTGTGAATTTTTTAGATGTGTTACAATTGTTTCTGGAACTCAAAGAAAGTTATTATAAAAAATCAGCATATTTAGAAAGCCTCAAGAATGAAATGCATTTGAAGTTAAAAAAAAGGAAAAGAAAAAAAAAGTATAACCTGCATGAGTAGAACATATAAAAAAATCTCCCCAACATTGAAATTTTAAACTGTATTGATAATAGTATTGGCAGCAATAAGACATAGTAAAACTTTCCTTTTCACCATAAGTCCAGCCTAACTATAATTATTTGTTTCAGAATTTACTTCCAAATAAAGCACTACTTCTGGAATGTACGTCTGTATAATGCATTAGTATAATAAAATAGTTTCAAAGTGAACAATAAACAAACATCAGTACTCTTTCACTTCTCAATTCTGAATCTATACCCAAACTGCCAAAATGCCATCTATCATCCATCCATTGGCAATTCACAAACCTGCTATTCATATTTTTAGTATTTCTGCGGTCATAACATAATGGTATGTACTTCAGGGAGCAGCACATTAAAATATTTCTCAGTGAGTTTCACAAAGGTTTTAAGTGCCATTAGGCTGGACAGAACTTTCTGAAATACATTAATTTCTTACATAAGCTTGAGGTCCAGTGCAGGACTACATCACTAGCTAGAATACACGGGCAATTGTTTTAAGTATAAATAATCTTGAATGCAAAGGTGAGAAAGGTGAGCCCTTGTTATCTGCAGTGCTGTAGGTGCAGTTATAAAACATGAATATGTAGAATGATTACAATGATCCACCAAAGTGAAAAGCTCTGTTTCATAGAATTAATTCTGAATTTCATACTTAGGAGCAATTTACTTTTCTTTTGATGTAAGTATCTACACACTTAAAAAATGGGACACATTTCTTGAACTGCAGCTAGATTACAATTTGGACCCACCTACAAATAATTCCCTCCTGCACTGGCTGCAGATCAGATGGTGTTTTATTTATAGCTATAGAGATTATTATTTCCTTTAACCGTAATAAATATTCTCAATACAAACCAATATATATAGTATCTGCAAATAATCAAAAAAAGCTAGAAGAATGGGGTCTTTGCTTAGCTGAAAATATATTGCTGGTGGATAATTGTTCGGAGTTGGTACAGTTTTTCTTTTAAGTGAATGAAAATTTCATTTTATTGTTTTCCAGAATCTATTCCTTCAATTCAAATAGTAATTTCTTTCTTTCCATCAAGGTAAAGCAGAGAGATTGTGCAACATAAAAGGCTGCAAAGAAAAAGTGGCTGCAAATGTGTGTTCCCAAAGGGAGCAATAGCAGATGCTCCCTCGTAGTGACCCCCCCCCAAAAGATATAAAATTTGAGACAGCCTGGAAAAAAGACAGTGAACAGAAAAGGAGAGGAAGGAAGCGAAACTAAAGGAAAATAAATATTTGCCAGATATTTAAAGAAATATTTCTACTACATGTCATGCACCTACAAGCACTTACAGCCTGACTAACTTTTATGGCTGATACAATTCCTGGCAACTGGTTTTTTGTGTGTGCTTTTATGTAAGGCTCTACTTACAGTCCTCAAGGTAAGAAAGCCTTTAGCTAAATTATTTTTCTCCCCATGTTTTGGGAAATTATTTTTTCCCAGCATGTAAAAATGCTGGAGCACTCAACTGGAAACACAAACAGTCCCTGTTATGGTTTGAATTGTGACTCAAGTGCACCTTGTCTTACTTCTGGCATCGTTCTCATGAGTTCATATATTAAAGTTGTGCCCTTGCCTATCTGTCACATTGAAAGAACTGTCCTGAATGAGACATTAGGAATTGTCTAGATTACAGGACTGCAAATTGCACATGTGTAGTCTCTGCTACCAACAGTACAAGAGAAACTCTTTGGTTTTTCTCAACCTAATTTCTTCCCCCTCGTGCCCCCTTTCTACGAGCAATATG